CCGAGCCACACTATTGTCGATAGCAGGACTTTCAACAGCACAAAAGCTCTTCACAAATATGCTGCACAGTCTACTCCGAGCACCAATGGCGTTTTTTGATTCAACCCCGACTGGAAGAATATTGAACAGAGTGAGTGGTCTATAGACTAGCAGAATTTTATGTCAGAGTATGATTCAACGGATATTTCAATTTTTAATTGCATATATTTGGTAGAACATGAAAACAAAGAACTTAGAAGAATTAGGAAAAAAAAAAAAAACAAATACATTTGGCATATATTTGTTATATTTATCTAACATCATCACTTTTGCAGACATCAATGGATCAAAGCGTCATAGACATGGAAATGGCACAAAGACTCGGCTGGTGTGCCTTCTCAATAATTCAGATTCTAGGGACCGTCGCAGTGATGTCCCAGGTCGCATGGGAAGTGTTTGTAATCTTCATTCCAGTAACTGCAGTCTGCATATGGTACCAAGTAAGAAATTTATTTCACCTTTGGTATATAATGTATCCATAGATATAGATGTTCATTTACTGCACTGAAAGCACAATAAACAAAGACCAATTTAGGTTATATGGCATTTGAATTGTCTCAGTTCGTCATGTCAGGAAAATTCTTACAGAAAGAGGGAAAAAAAGGATTAAAATAAGCATGCTTGAAACACCACTAAAATAATAAATATAATAATAACAACAAATTCAAATTCTATGACAAGAAAAATATTAACTTTATTATTACCTTTGGAATTTCTGCATTGTTATGGGAATCAATCTGTAATATTTGTTGTTTTGTCAGCAATATTACACGCCAACAGCAAGAGAACTTGCTCGCTTAGCAGGGATACAACAAGCCCCAATCCTCCATCATTTTTCAGAATCACTAGCAGGAGCAGCAACTATTCGTGCTTTTGATCAACAAGACCGTTTTTATTGTTTAAACCTTGATCTGATAGACAACCACTCAAGGCCATGGTTTCATAATGTATCTGCAATGGAATGGCTTTCTTTCAGACTGAATTTACTATCCAATTTTGTGTTTGCTTTCTCATTGGTTTTGCTGGTGAGCCTTCCTGAAGGTGTAATCAATCCAAGTGAGTGAAGTTCAATTTAAAGAAAAACATAATTGCTTGCTATGACCTTAATTTTCTTACACTGATGTGGTAAAGAATCTCACAAAGGAATAATGAAAAGTGGAATTGAACAGCCGATCCACCACATACAACGAAAAAATCGTAGGATTTTTGAGTTCAAATTCAGGATTGGAACTTTTCCCTTCTTGCAGGCATTGCTGGATTAGCAGTAACGTATGGAATAAACTTGAATGTTTTGCAAGCTTCCGTTATATGGAACATATGCAATGCGGAAAATAAAATGATCTCAGTAGAAAGAGTACTTCAGTACTCCAGCATAAAGAGCGAAGCACCCCTTGTGGTTGAGGAGTGCAGACCTCCAAACAAATGGCCAGAAGTTGGAGCAATCTGCTTCAATGATTTGCAGGTAAATCCCCTTTGTCGAGGCTTTTAGTATTTGAAATAACAAAATAAGTGCAGAAAATTTGGCATCTACTTGTTATCACACATAAACATGTTTGCATATGTTTTATAACAGACATTTTGGCTGTGTTGCAGATTCGCTACGCAGAGCATCTGCCATCTGTTCTGAAAAACATTAACTGTACATTTCCAGGAAGAAAAAAGGTTGGTGTTGTCGGAAGGACGGGAAGTGGGAAATCAACCCTCATACAGGCCATCTTCAGAATTGTTGAACCCAGAGAGGGAAGCATTGTCATTGATGATGTGGACATTTCAAAGATAGGTCTTCATGATTTGAGATCAAGGCTTAGCATCATCCCACAAGACCCAACAATGTTTGAGGGAACAGTGAGTGGAAACCTTGATCCACTAGGTCAATACTCCGACTATGAAATATGGGCGGTAAGTACGTTTCCTTACTAGATTGATCCAAAATTATTTGAGGTTCAAAACTTTGATAGCAGTGGTATAGTAATAACTCCACCATATTTCAGGCTCTGGAAAAGTGTCAACTAGGAGATTTGGTGCGGGCAAAAGCTGAAAAGCTGGACTCCCCAGGTATGGATAGACCATGTATGATGTATCTAGAAGTCTCTGTGTGTGTGGAAGTAGTAGTGGTAACAGTGAGATGCTATATTAATGACAGTGGTTGAAAATGGAGAAAATTGGAGTATGGGGCAAAGGCAGCTGTTTTGTTTGGGAAGAGCATTGCTAAAGAAAAGCAGCATTCTTGTGCTGGACGAAGCAACAGCATCAGTCGATTCAGCAACTGATGGGGTGATACAAAAGATCATTAGTCAAGAATTCAAAGATCGGACAGTAGTCACAATAGCTCACAGAATCCACACAGTCATAGATAGTGATCTTGTTTTGGTCCTTAGTGATGGTAAGTACCAGGTCATTGACACAAACAAATAATCCAATTATTTAGATTACTAATCACAGAAAAGAGTATCAATGATTTCTTCTTCTTTTTTTGCTGTGAACAGGAAGAGTTGCGGAGTATGATACGCCAGCAAGGCTACTAGAAAGGGAGGACTCTTTCTTTTCAAAGCTTATAAAAGAGTATTCCATGAGATCACAGAGCTTCAACAGCTTAATTTAAGTAACTAATAGTTATGTAGCCTGTTCCGCAAGTGATAGGAACAACATTGTTTTCTCTTGCTTGAATAAGTGAAGTAGTACTAATGAATATTGTTATCATTTTAAAGTGATAATCGTTTAAGAATTAATATATAAACATTATGGATTTTTCTGTTATTTATTTTTCGTTCTTTTTAACAAAATTCTACAATCATTTAATTCTTATTTTTAATATTTTAGTTTTCTTCTTTATTTTTCACTCTAAAATCAGTATAGCGTGTAGCCAATCCAATTCAATCTTAATCCTCATACCAATTTGACATGCAACTTTAAAACCTAAATTAATTTCACCCAAATTCTGATCAAAGACAAAACTCACTTTAACATATTCAGCTTAACAACCATAAATATACAAAATACACCATAATAAATCACTATTCCATCCTAAGAACCCATTAGCAACCTTAGTTTTTACATAAAATCACAAATTCCAGCAACTTGTCGCGAAGGAAACAAAGCCTAAAATAGTCGTATGCTAGAAATAGAAAGAAAGAAGAGGAGCTGACCAGAAATTGATGTTCCAGCAAAGAGGGAATGGACTTTTGAGCAGAATAGTGAGAGGAAGAGTTGGTTTTGGAAATGAATTGGAAGGGATTTTAATTCAGCTTGTGCAAAAACATGACATGTAAGAATCTCATAGGCAAGCATAAGAGAATTTTGTATGCAAGTGGACACTTTGACACACAAATGAGCAAGTGTCCTATCTTATTCAATTAGGTTATGCACTTTGACACACAAATTAATGGAAAAGGCCCTTTAGAGGTGGCTATATATTTTCTAAGACTCAAAAACCATATATTATATCTCATTCCACTCTCATACATTCAAACAAGTAACATAACCACCCTGCCTTTAGTTATGCAGCACTGTTTCTTAAAAATACAAAATTCTCCCCTCGCCCCTCAATATATACATATATATATATATATATATATCAAAGACTTGACACATAAAAGTATTTAAATCTACATATCTCCCCGATGCTCTGTGTGTTCATCAAGGAGGTGATTCTTTAAAGCTCTTGTTCTTTATGAACGAGTGGTTCTATAAAGTTGAGCAAACACCACTGTTTTTAAGGTTTTGCCATTTTCTTTTCTTTATGGAGGCAGTAACGTAGATTGTGATTTTTCCGAAAGAGAAAGGAACAGAGACTGCGATTATGTAAGAGAGAGAGAGAGAGAGAGACGGGGGAAGTCAAAATTTAGTGCTGGAGGGAATTCTATTTTCTAGAATACTTTTGGGTTTTAACGGATACGAGGAGGGATTTCTAGAATACTTTAAGTTTGAGAGGTGATGTCGTAGTTAGGATTTTCTTTCTTTTCCTTTTATCTATTTATTGGTTTAATGGCCTTTTTTGGCCCCCTAAACTATCAATTTGGTTAATTTTAACTTTAAATTATCATTTTTTTATATAAATATTGTATTTCTGTTTGATTTGATTGTTATTATTGATTAAAAAAAAGTTCTTTTAAAAAATTTAATTTTTGATATTTTGAGTTAAATATTTTCACATATACTAAAAATTCAATTTTCATTTCAAAATAATTTTAATTTTTTTATATTAAAACGGAACTTTTAGTTTTTTCTTAAGCATTACCTATTAACAAAATTAAAAATAATAATAATTTAGAATGATCCTAAATTTTATCAAAGGCCTAAAAAATTGTATAAATTTATTTGTTTAGTTTTAATATGATATCTAAATTATTTGTATAGTTGAATGTGTAACACTTAGTCAAATTTAAAATAAATTTTGAGAACTATATATATAATTTATTTTTTTAGAAAAATACACTAAAATTACCTATGTAAATTCATATGATGTTCTTAGAATTTCTATTAAAAAAAATTGAGATAATTCCAACTTATTTTTTATAATTTATTGAATTTTTATTATTTAGAAACTAAAAAAAATACTTTAAATTAAAAAAATAAAAATTGTATGTGATAATGGGTTGAATTTTAATTAGCTTACATGAAAACTTTCGATTAAAAATGCCAAAATTTGAAAAAATTTAAAGGAATTTTTGGTTAATATAAATTATCAAAACAAACGGAATATCAATATTTGTTGATAATTTAAAATCAAAATTAAGCAATTTAATAGTATGAGTCTCAAATTGCCACAATATTAAAGTTCAAGGGCAAAAACTGCCATGAAACCTTTATTTATTAAACAAACCCCAGAAGAAAAAAATATTTATTTTGAAGTAAAGCAAATTAATCTGGTATCAAATACGATAAATAATAACTTATATATCAGTATGTCTGGCTGTCTATGTTTGTGCCACAGTGGCAGGGAGTGCAAGTAGATAATAATAATGGCAGCGAGGACGGCGGCGACGGCGACTCTGCTAACGGCCGTCCGATTGGAACAACCAGAATTGGACAGCACAAATAATAGTAAGAAGACGAAGGAGACGGCTGTTGTTGCAGGAAAAGGAATTTTTGGTAGAAGTAGAAGAAACCCACACCTTTCCCTTACAAAGCCATCTTGGGTTGTCAGAACAGAGGTATTTATGTATCTATGAATTTCATTTCCATCTTCCCCTTTTCTTTTCTTCTCATTATCGCACACTAAATTGCTAATTTTTTTCAAGTTTTGGGCAGTCAAATGTACGGAGAGAAATAAGAAAGAAGCCAGACCCAGCTTGTGTGGTCTGCCATGGAACTGGTAGAGTTGATTGCCCCCTTTGTTCTGGACAAGGTATCAACCAACCTCCCAATATCTCTCCTTCTGATATTATAGTACTAATAATCATGATCCATTTGATACTGTAGGCAGGACTAACTGTGTGCATTTAGCTCTGCTTCCTCAAGGTGAATGGCCTAAATGGTGAGCTATGAGCACTTGTTTAATTTCTTAAGTAATTAGTTCTGCTGCCGCTAGCTACGACTGTCATATGTCACTCTTTGTAAAAGTGATTACACTTGTTTCGTAGCAGGTGCAGGACTTGTGGTGGCAGTGGCCTCAGCTACTGCTCCCGTTGCCTTGGAACTGGAGAGTACAGGTATATCATGGGCTTCAACTTCATGAAGATGGCTTCTGATGACACCAAAAATCACCCACAGCAGCATCAGACTCCCACTCAGAATACAGCTGATCGGCTTCTCAACAGAGAACAAGTGGATTCAAACCATGACATATGAAGTTTCAGTAGGTAGTTTTGGTCAAAGCAGCTTCCAATTTTACTTTCTGTGTTCGGTTTGTGTAATTTTAGATTTGAGCTGATAAAAGCTGTTCCTGTTGTTGTCATATGTTCCAAAGTGGAGCTCAAATAGCCTTTTTCAGGGCCTGAGAATAAGGTTCAAACTTACAACATTATAGACTTTATAGCATTAGCATCCGACTTCTATGATTGCATACCAATCCTTAGGACACGTTGGATGCTTATCTCGAAACGAATCAAACTTTTTGACCATCTGGATACAATTTTAAATTTGAAGGACAATTATTTCCCAGTAACCAGCAAATGCAGTTGGTTGCAAATGCAGGTTCACATTCACCGTTAAGAAACTAAAGAGAACCGCCAACTGACTGGAACTCCTACTGCGGTTAAATGATTTTTTCCAGCAGTAGCTTCATCTTTTAAGTCAGATTATGACCTTAAACAAAGCGGCAGCAAGCCATCATCCAAACCCTACAAACAGGAACACAGATTTTGCAAAATAAAAATGCTATAATTAGGTCATTACACATCAGTTCGCCACATGGATCAAAACAAGGCCTCCATACATGGGTGATCTATTGGAGGCAAACCAAATAAAAAGAAATCTAAAAAAAAGTCTAAAAAACCAAAAGATCCTACAAGTACCCCTTCTGTGACTGATAATATACTCTGAAAGTCTGAAAAATACACTAAGAATCTTTTGTAGATTCATCTGCCGGTACGTCATCTTCATCATGGTAGATATTCTCTGCCATCTGCCATATCTGAAGGATGTTATCTTCAGCTACACTAGCAATAACCCAATCTTCACATGGGTTCCATGAAAAATCTGATATTTTACTCGTGTGACCACCATGAATGAAAAGCAATTCTGGTGGGCCATCTTCGGCATCCTCTGGTGTCTGCTCATCATCAATCCTGCAAAGGAAGCCCCAAATTAAACAAAGCAAATATAGCAATCCTCAGGTAGTGTCGGCTTATCCAAAAAAAAAGATATAAACAATCTTCAAATCCGGAAATCAGTAAACTTAAGCAATATCATTTAACAGCTCACAGGGTTTTATCACGGACAAACCTGCTAAGATCCCAGACCATGAGCCTTCTACCAAGGCAACAAGAAGCTAAGATAGTCTCATTCTTGGGATTCCACCCGACTTGGAAAACCTCTTCCCTGGTGCACATCACAGCAAAAATAAAGTGCAAAGGATATCAAAAACAAGTTTTTAGGTGAACTGATGTACATCAGTCCATGCTGCATGGGAGTGCACTTGTAAACAATACACACTACAGATATGTGCCCAGGTCCCAGAAGAATAATAAAGAATGCCCTGGATAGGAAGGATGCTTACTTGTGACAGTTAAATGTGTGAAGTGCAGTATTGATCTTCCTTATGTCAAATAACTTGACAGTCTTATCAGTAGATCCCGTTGCCACAACCCATTCATTAAAAGGATTAAAGGCCAAGCAGTTAACCTAAGACAAGATCGCAGAAAATAAATCACATGAATTAAAATAAAAAAGAGATATAAAACTCATGGCATATCAACAATGGCAGAGGGCGTGGTTTTCAGAACAAGAATAAAAAACTCATCAGCTTTCTAAGAGACAAAAACTCGCATATGTAGGAGGAATCCTTTTGACAAACATGAGTTCACCTACAATATGTCATAAAGAACATTCTGATTGGAAGGCACAAATCACAGGTTTTGAGCAATAAAAAGCACAATTACCCATATCATTTCACATGGAACATGTCAAGTCAGCAGGCTTAAGATAGTAGTTGCATATGAAGATAAAAAATTATGTCTCAGCCACTGAACATTGAGTATATTAGTTCAATAAGGAATCACAAAACTGTTATGGCATACCTCACTCTGGTGAGCAACTACAGAATGGACAGGCTTGGTAACAGACGGAGTTCGGAGATCCCATATAAGCAGGTATTGATCATCCCCAACAGAACCAAACAAGTGTTCATGTCTCAGATGCCATGCTACATCTTCTACAACACCTTCATGAACCTATTACACCACAGTACTTCTTTAAATCATCTTAAAGATTTCCACAGCACAAAACGAAACATTTCAACAAACAGGCATACATACCAACCTTAAAGATCTGCATAGCATCAAGAGACTTATTCTTAGGAGTAGAATTAATGTCCCACAAGCAAATTTGGGCATCATCAGAACCACTAAGCAAATACCCTTCTTTAAACTTACTCCAAGACAAACCATAGCCTTCAGTGCTGTGACCCCTCAATCTCAAATCAGGAGTACAAGCACCATCAAGAGGAGGCTTAGATGGGTGCTTGCTATAGTCAAAGACATAAACTTCAGCACTAACAGTCTTAGTTGCTATCATAAATGGGTTTTGGGGCATGTACCGCGCCCTATTCACCTCCCCATCATGATTTATTTGCTGAATTATTTGCACCTACAAAATGAAAATTAATTAATTTAGATCTGAGAAAGGAATTAAGACAAAAAATTGCAAAAAAAAAAAAAAAAAAAAAGCAAAAAGAAAACCTTGCCATTGGCGGCCCCAAAGCCGCCAAAATCGGAGCGATCGTCATCGTAGTGACGGGCGTCGTTTTCTGCGTCATCAAGGGGAAGCTGGACCTGGGCAAGCATGAGATAGTTAGGCTCGTTCTCGGAGGTGTGAGTACCAAGAATCATCTTTTGGACCGAGTAGTCCTTGCCAGGAGGCTCCTCGCGGTCTGGAAGCCACTCGACGGTGAGCGAAGGCCATTCGAGGGCATGAGTGATGACAAGATCGTAGAGGAAAGGAGTGTTCTTTTTCCATATCTTGTACTCTTCATTTATCAATCGTTCTTCTATCTCTCCCCTCATTTCCTCTTCGTCTTTGCCCATCACCTCCTTCTTTATTTCTTCAATTTGGATTTGATTTACTCCTTTTTCTTTCTTTCTAGGGTTTCTTTCGTTTTGATTTGGGGATTTTTTTTATCTTTGAGGGAAGGGTAAGTTAATTCCCGCCAAAAGAAAGAATAGATAGATTAGATTTGCAAAATGAGTGAAAAAGAAAACAAACCCTAACACCAGCCCGGGGTGTTAGTGATGGTGAAGCGAAGTGGAACTAAATAAATTGATGACGTTACAATCGTTTACTTCTGTAACTCTTTTTTTTTTTTTAACTGTGGTATGGCAAGCATAGAGTTTTTTTTCACAGTACTCCTGACTTGCTAATCCAATGCAGTTGAGTTGAGAAGCTTATCCGTCATACAGTAAAGTGAAAAAAAAAAAAAAAAAAACTCTTTATTTGCAGAAGAATGAGGATTTATTTGTCAGAATAAAAATAAAAGAGAGGTTTAACTGAAATTTTATATAACTACTTTTCCAATATAGTTTTTTTTGTTTTATATTTTTGTAAATTACAAAAAAACACTAAAAAACATGAGGATTTTACGATTGTTAGACTATTCGTCCACTCTCATTTTGCTGTGGATTGAGTTTTTTTTTTTAATACCTTTTGTGTTATAAAAGGCTTTTGTTCACCTTAAATTACTCCTATTGCAATTTAATAGATTTATGAAAATTCATATTTAACCTTGATTGATTCCCTTTTTAATTTTCTTCTCAAGCCTTTTTCTGTCATTTCCCTTCTTTTTTTTCTTTGCATTATAAATGACCTTCTCTTTTGTTTTTAATTATTCTTATTGTCACTCAATAGATTTATGAAAGTCCATATCTGCCCTTCACTTGCTCTCTTTTTTTATTTCTCTTTTAGCCGTTTTTTTCGTCATTTTCTTTTCCTTTTTTGATGAAGCATTTAATGCTACTCTGATCGTAAATTTTTTCTCCTCATTTTCGTGAGAGAAGAGGAGCTTCAAGAGTAAATTATAAATTAGTCCCTCTTTCATAGGGAAATGAATTAATTAATCCATTTGATTTCAAAAACTAATTTTTTTCATTCTTACTATTTTTCATTTTCTTTGACTTTTTGTTTTAAAAAATAAAAAATGGATAAAAATGTGAAAAAGATTGATGAGAAAAGAAGACATTTTTTAAAATAAAAAATAAATTAGTGTGGCTAAAAACATTAAATAATTATTTTTTGAAATCAAAAGGATTAATTAACTCATTTCTCAAAACAAAAGGAATTGATTTATAATTTATCTATCACTATATTCACATCTATTACATAAAATAAATATATCTATAAGGTATTTTTTTATATTTTAAAATAAAGATATATTTTAGATTAATTACTATTATTATTTAAAATTATTTCTTCAATTTGTCATTTCTTATTAAGATTTTGATCAAATTAATTTTTATTTTGTTTAAATATTATTTATTAATAAACATAATTTATTGTTCTCTCGTGTATGGATAATAGCATATATATATATTAAAAATATTTTTTAGAGAATTTGTATTAGATTTTTTGAAAAAATAATTAACAAAATAAATTTTTAGTTATAAATCCATGGGGTTTTAGATTTTATTTTTAGATTATCACAAGTTTCTAGTTAAGAATCGAATAAGTAAGAATAAATCATGTTTTTTTTTTTTTGTAAAAAATTTTTGAAAAATACAGCAAATAATTAGTCAAATGCAAATTTTTAATAAAAAAATAATTATTATATTTTGATGGATTCACGTTAAAATGTAAATTTTTAAACTAAAATAATTTTACATGTTCTTTTCGATTCGCAGCAGTAGCACGAATGAAAAACTAACATACACTATAATACTAAGGTGTTGTTTGGTAATCGTGAATAAAATGATGGGAATGAAAATGCAGGAATCGGATTGAAAATTAAAGAATCGGAATGGCATTTGTATTTCTATACCGTGTTTAGAATACTAATAAGGAATCGAATACAATTTAAATTTTTTAATATTTGATTTTTTATACAAATAAAAATAATTATTAAAAAATAATTTTATCAAACTATAATAGTTGTAAAAATAATAAAGATGATGATGGTGGTGATAGTTATGACAATGGTGGTTCTAGTAATGGTGGTGGTGGTGGTGGTGGCAGTGGTAGTTGCGATGGTGGTTTTGGTGATGGTAAAAGTAGTTAATAGACAATAAATAAATAAAATATATTATTATTTTGAAGAAAAAAATTCATTATCATTCCTTATTTTTATTCCCACATCTTATGTGGGAATAGAGTTGTGTGTAAATTTTCATTCTCGTTCTCACTTCATTCCTTTTAACTAAACAGACTAGAACGTGAGAATAAAACTTTCATTCTCATTTTTATTACTCTATTTCGATTACTAAATAGCACCTTAAATTTCAAGACCTTATCTCAAGTGAACTATGTTTTACTTGTAATTTATTACTTTCTGTCTAAAAAAGTATTGTTATGCTTGACTTTTCATAAATGTCATTAATTGATATGTTACATTACTATTTTTATTTGAAATTTATTATTTTTTTTGTATTAATTGATATGTTATATATTATTAAAAAAAAATCTAAATGTAGATGTAGATGTCTTATAAAATGAACTTTAATCTAGAGCTGAAAACTTAAAAAATGAGGTGGGTGTCGATATGAAAAATTCACAGTATAAGTTTGAAAATAAAATAACAAACGAAAGGCTACATAAAAACATGAATTTTGGGAGTGAAAAATACATATTTCTTAAAAAATTAGTCTTAATTTTAAGGATGTAATTAAAAAAATTCAAAAATTTAAGACTTAGTTGTAAACTTTCCCCTAATCTGCTAACGCTATGACATCTTTAACCCTATATCTACTTACGTCCCTAACTTTAATCATGATTATTATTAAAAATATATATTATATATTATTTAATGTCTGGACCAAACAATTATTTTAGGATGAAGGAAGTATTTTATTTTATATATCAATTCAAGAAGTGTATTTTATTTTAATCTTACATTTTTTTTAATCTTTATCCATCTCAAATGAGCATCTCAAATGAGATACTCATTTGGACATTTATCATGGGTATTTATTGAATTGAATAGCATGGATACCAGCTTTATATCCGGTCTATTGCCATTCTTAATTGAAATAAAAAAAGAAAAAGAAAAAAAAGGTAAATCCTTCCCATTGTGCATCTCAATAACATGTTACTTGACAACATCTTAGTATCCATATGCATGTCCAAAGTTAGATGATAAATTGTAATTTAAGATGCCAAGTCTAACCCATGCATTCCTACGGACAAATCACATCATCACAGCACAGTCTACAAATTCATAAGCCTTGACTTCACTGAAAGCATCCAAATCGGAATGGAATGCGGGTTTATTGCCAAGTGCAGAATACAATAACTAACCCAAATGCAACTTGATTTCGTGCTGGCAAGTCCAACGAACCATTCACAATTCTCATGAGAATTTCCTCAGGCAAAAAACCAATCCATGTTAAAAATAGAAAACAAAGGTAGAGTAGGAGCATTCATTGATAAGACATCAAATTCACTTCATCAATGAGATTAGATTGCCATACATCAACTCAAGAATCAATTCAACATTGAAATACCCTTTATACATATATCGTTTATAAAGAATAAAACTTTTCCAGAAGTTTCTCAACAAAACATTCACGAGTATAATAAAATTTGAAAAAAATCTAAACAAGGAATCTAATTCAAGCTACCAAAAATCTGCCGACCAACCCCATGTATATCAAGTCCATCATACAAAACTAACTATATGACTTCTCTAAACATAAAGTTTTTTGAGTTTTCTACAATCTGGTAACACTTTCCAAGAAGGAAGCTAAAATTGGCAAGAGTGCAACCTGGGAGGCAGACACCAACCATCTATATTGATCAATCAATGCCCAAGCTGGAATAGGGTTCGATGCCACCCTGACAACGACAAAAAACCAAGAATGAATCTAATCTATTGGTATCATTTTCAGAGTGAGCAACAAATCTGTACACTAGGAATGATCTGAACTCCCAGCGATCAGAACTTAGATGGATAGAACCCTAATGGAAGAACTACAAAAGGCAAAAGGTGGAGCAATCGCAATGGTTGAGAAATCCATCAAAAAAAATAGTCAGGATTTTCATTTTAATTTTCAAATTAAAAAGAGGAATGGCTTTTTTCTTTTTCATTTTTTTTTCCTATTTGCCTTAAATTCTTGGGTTTTTTATATTTCAAATTTCTTAACTACAATTCAGGCTACACTACGTCAGCACTATTTATTCTTCCAGATGCATGCATCACCAGGAAAAGAATAAAAGAAAATCTGCAACACATTGACACCTCTTGCATGAAGAATAAATGAATGAATTTCTTTGGGGTGGAGTGATTAATATCACTTGTAATCATATAGATCCAATTTTACTGAAAGATGCTACTCACAGAGCAGTCATCATGAACACGCCATATGGTCTCGCCCAAGAGGTTTGCTACTGACAAGACAGTGAGTTGAGGAAAATAGTTCTGCTCTGACACGGGAATAGTGTTTGTTATGATAACCTCTTGAAAAAGACCACTTGATAACCTCTCAATGGCAGGAGGGCTGCAAACAGAAAATGTAGTGAAAATCTGAGTAAGAAACAATCAGATGAATGTTTAATATGCACAGTTGCAGATTTGTTCAACATTCGATTATATGCTTTAATCATTGACAACAGGGAAGGATCTACAATTTACAAAAATCAATTACACCTATAACAGTTCCATCTATTGGTTGATAAATCCATGGCTGCCGTCGAATCTGGTACCTAACTTTGAATTCATTTTGTATTGATCAGAGAACATATATAGACAGTAATCTCCATACCTGTTTTGGAAAAGCATATGATAGTGTGACCTGTCAATATTATCTACGTCCAGCGCATCATTAGAATTCCAAGCTATCAATGCTGTTCTAATTTCTTAATCCAACGCCAATGTTGTCAAAAATGTGCACCAACACTTTGAGTAAACGAATTTCCTAGGAATGATGCTAGAAATTATAACATTTTTTTACTAAAAATTTTACTAAATGACGTGGCAATCAATAACAGGTGTTAGATAATCTTATAATAGCAAGCATTACATAGATTAGCAAACCAGATAATATCCAGATACCTGAAAACAGCATGTGTAGTGCATGCATAGACCTCCCTTGCCCCTTCTTGATGTAATAGAGCTGCACCTTTGCTAATAGTTCCTGCAATGAACCAATGCATAGGAAATATTTAATAATAAATAAACAAGAATTTGGAATGTTGGGCCAAAGACCACTTGTTTTTATTGTTTTGGGGGGAGGAGTTGTGGTGTTTTGTGTGTATGTGGAGGCAAGAACAATAGTATCAGCATTTGATCAAATAAACAGCTAGACTGGTTCAACTAGACTGGTTCAACTGTGAATCAGACTCTTCTCAGTTTCATATTTTGATGGGACCATGTAAGAAATTGAAGAGGACAAAATGTAAAACATCATAACTTTTACACCTATAAATCACACATTGGCCCTTGAATGGCCAAGTGCACTTTACATATAATTATTACCCTCTTAATGGTAACACCTTCATTATTTATATATACTTCTGTAACTTTGACTCTATTTTTAGCACGCTATAGCAGAAAAAAAAACTGAATTATGAAACAAATACTTAAAGAGAATAAAATTCACCAATTTACAATTCTAGGCACAAAGATATTGTTTTTAGACTAATTTTTAAGGATTTGGATAAGTTACTTTAAATGTTAGATAGATATATCACTAACAGATCAAAGGTACATTTAGTTTACCAATAGTTGAACCAACGAAAACAATGACCTCAGCCTTCTGGACTCATCTTCTTGTGGTTCTGATAAATATGGCTACAGTATCACTAGTGACATAGGAAGAAAAGGCAAAATACTACGGTTTCTATTGGTTTCCTCTTCCCACACTATGTCATCTAGGATATAAAGGCATAGCTTCTGTAGCATGCAGTTTCCAGTATATGATAGGGCCAGAAAATAGGATTTGGGAAAAACTTACCAGCTGTGTCGATCATGTCATCTACCATAACTGCAACTTTCCCCTTCACATCACCTATCAAATTCATCACCTGAAATGACATTCAGCAGACAGTAACATAATTGCAATCCAGTGACTTTAATGCGTATGGAGAAATCAGGTTATGTCCATTCCAATCCCATAAAACAGGAGGAAATAAAATAATGAGGAAAACAGAGAAAAAGATGTGGATATTTCAATTCTCAATGCGTGAAACAAAAGGAAAAGCAGATGTGGGTAGGAATTAGGGAGCACTCTATCTTCAACTTTAAAGAGCGTAGCTTGCCCTGAAAGCATATAAACAGTGTTTCTATCTCTATCTCAATTCTCGATACAACAGACCATCTTGAAGCTTAAGAAAAGAGCAGAGCAGCATAATTGGTATATTTTACCTCTGCAACATTGTGTCCATGACGCCTTTTATCCACAATGGCTAGAGGTGCATCTGATAATTTCTTGGCAAAAGCACGAGCTCTTGCTACACCACCAACATCAGGGGAGACCACCACCAAGTCATCAGAACATATAGACTTGCTAGCAAGGTAATCAAGTATCACAGGCTGGTGATGCACAAAAGAAAAAATAAAATAAATAACACTGAATAGATAGTTGAAACAATTTAGTTTTTGTGGTTTTCTCACCAGTCCATGGTGGCAGCATAACATGACATGAACTGTTAAAATAAGAAACGTGACCTCTGTATCATACTCCAACAGCTATATGATGGAATAATGCAATGCAATAGCAGTCAACAGCAGAGTCGGTTCTTTACCTGACCATACACATGATCGACGGGAATGTCAAAATACCCCATGGACTGTCCAGAATGAAGATCACAGGAAAGAACACGATTCGCACCTGCTTCAGTAATCAAATTTGCAACAAGCTTGGCAGCAATGGATTCACGCCCTTGAGTCTGAAAATCCAGTATGCTGAGACAATGAACAAATTAACTAAAAACCAAAATCATCCAGAAATTCAGCTCCCGGCAACATTACCTTTCTATCGGCCCTGGCATAGCCAAAATAAGGAATAACAGCAGTAATATTTTTGGCAGACGCCCTGCGACAAGCATCAATCATAATGAGCAGCTCCATGAGGTTCTCATTGGCAGGTGGACAAGTGGGTTGGACGAGAAAAACATCACAGCCTCTGACACTTTCTTGCAGTTGGACATAAATCTCCCCATCAGCAAAACGTTTAATTTTAATCTTGCCAAGCTCCAAACCCATGTAGCAAGCAATTTCCTATCAAAAACATTGAATAAAGATTAAAATAGGAATACTAAACTATTATTCCAAGAACTAAACTAAACTAAACAGGGAAAAAGTATTAAAAACAAGAAAATAGTACATGAGAGAGAGCAGGATTAGCTGTGCCGGAGAAAATGCGCAGCCTGGTGTCATTTTTGTTGCAAGGAGGAAGAGTGTTATCTAAATGGGAAGTAGTTGTGGAGGATAAAAAACCAGGCAAGGATTGATGAGGAGAGTTGTTGAAGATCGGGATGGAAGGCTTGCCGTTGTCAAACTTGATGGGCTCCACCAGATTACACCTCTGATAAAAGAAAATCAGTGCATCAAATGAGTAGCAGCCAGCACAAAGTAAATAGACAAGAAAAGAAAGCAAGAAAGCAATTATTCCTGGGATTCTTTCAGGGATTAATGTCACACTACTACTATAGATCAATCAAAAATTGAGAAAGGAAAAGAACAAGAAAGAAGCAGGCACTTACGACGGCGTGACGGAGAGGGTAGTGAAGGTGAAGAAAGGGAAAGCGAGGGTTGTTGGAGGAGAAAGTAGAGAGTAGAGAAGAAGGAAATGGGGATGTGGGAGACGTGGATGACTGAAGCAGCGATGCCATTATTCGTTGAACGCTTCCTTCCTTTTTCCTTCTTTCAAGATATATAAAGAAAACAGGCTCTAGAGAAATTTTTAATATACTTTCATTAGGTTTTCAGCAATTATTCCGTTGGGTCTCCTCCGCCGGTAACAAAATCTTTATTGCTCTTCTTTTTCTTTTTTTCTTTTTTTTTTTTTAATTCCCCCTTTTCAAAACTCATTCATTTGTCAACAGATAAAACGTTATCTAATTTGAGAAATACCTGACAACATTACTATGTGTTTTGTGAGTGTCAATTTGCATATCTTCCGGATTGTCCACGTAAATTCTATCTAAACTTAATTATGACTCACGTGCCTTTTATATATATATATATATATTAAAAAAGAAGATTTTATTAAATTATTTTTCATCTACTTTCTATTTTTCAGTTTTCTTTAAAAATATCATATATATTTTATCATTAATTAAAAAAAAAAGAGTCTAGTAAAATTAATTTTCATCTACTTCCTGATCTTTAGTATTCTTCAAAGATATTAATGAATCAAGTTTTTTTTTTTTTTCAAATTATGCGAAACATAAAATTTTAAAATTTATGAGAATAATAAATTTATGTTTTATTGTTATGTATAATTACAATTATAACTATCATTCTATCTATTAAAAAATTATTACTCATGTTTTTATCAAATCCATTTTTTCATATTATCTTGTTGTCAAATCAATTTTTCCATTAAAAAAAAAAACAACCCAGTCGCTTCACGCATAAACCAATCCAGAGATACAGAATAAAAAGAAAAGGCTTCATCTTAAAATGTTGGAATATTTTTTATAAAACATAGTTTTATTCATTTATTATTAATTATTAACATAATAATATACTATATTTATTCACAACAAATTATGAAACCAATTTATTTGGTTAAGAGCTCTTAATAATACTTTTTTAAAAAAAGGTTTGTAACATTTTTCAGTTTCATGAGGATATTACTACCAATGGCTATATGCTTTAATGTGGTTTTGTTAGTTTGTCTAGTCTAGCACCTATGCAAAGGATGCACGTTTTATTCCAAAGATAATAGTGTACATGAAAAAAAAATAATAATTGTGACTTTTTTTAATGATTATTTCATACACTATATATATTTTATATTTTGGTCTTTTGGATGGAGAAAAATACTATTTAGATATTAGAAAGCTTTTTACTTTATAAGCGATGTAAACTTTAACTATTAACTAAATAAACTAAAACAAAATGTTAGTTTACTCGTTGTAAATACTGTTCATACACTTACACTAATATTTCACTATTCATTAGCTTTTTTACACTTTGATCCTTGATCTTTGCCAACGAATCTTTCGATCCACATCTTCATTTGCTCTTCCATTTTGGTCTTTGGATGAGAGAGAAGGAAGGAGGGAAGAGAGAGACAGGAGGAGAGAGAGATCGTCGACTAAGCTTATTTAGGCCACTTTAGCTTGCGAAAATCCACTAGATTTTTTTATCTTTAAGAGATGAATTTGTCTATGGTTGTTTCAAGCCATGAAACAATTAGAGAAGGTAGATCGGAGCCAACAAAGAAAACAATATTCGATTTGATTGTGTAATTTTTATTTTATTTTTGTGAGCATTAAAATGATTCTTAAGGTTTTATATATGTTTATTTGCTTTATTCTGATCATTTAGAGGTGTTTGGGAAAAAAATCGATGCCGAAATTCAATTTCGAGGATTTGAAACTTGATCTTCGATTTTTCGACGAATATTCCAACAATCTCTAGAATCGAAAGTTGCAGACTTTTTTTTTTTTTTTTTGGAGTAGCAGCCTAGGCCTGATGCGCAGTGCTCGAGCTGTTGAGCCAAGCCTTATGCGCGAGCCCAATAGCCCCTGGTGCACATGGCTTTTTCTTTTCTTTTTTTCTATTTTCTTCTCCTGTTTCGGCTTAGGAAATTGACTTTTATTTTGGTCCTTTCTTTCTATTTATTTTTTATTTTGATCATTAAACTTTTCTTATCTTTGATTTTTATCCCTATCGTAAATATTAAAATTTTATTATATGTGATTTTTATCCTTATAATAAAATGTTTTTTTTAACTTTGAATAAAAATTTATGTTCTTTTTTTGTTTCTATTTTTTAATATGTTTTTATTTTAGTCAATAAAGTTTTTTCATATTTGATTTTTATCCTTGCTATACCTGAAACTAAATAAAGTTTACTATCCGAAGGTTTTTTTTTTTTACTGAAATTTTCTTTCTATTCTAATTTATGTTTTGTGATTTTTTCTTTGTTTTCATTATTAAATTTAGTAGAATTTTTTTTTAGTCTTTTTTTTTGTAATTGTTTTTTATTTTGATCATTAAATTTTTTTCCTACAAGGAACTATTTTTTACTTTTAGTAAAAAAATTTATTATATTTTGGTTTTTGTTTTATGATCTTTCATTTATTTTGATCATTAAAATTTTATTATATTTAATTATTATTCACTCTACATTAAAATTAAATAATTTTAACTATGCTAAGTTTTTTTTTTAGTGAAAAAATTTTCTATTTTGATTCTTATTTTATTAATTTTTTTATTTTGGTCATTAAAATTCTATAATGTTTACTTTTGTTCTCGCCTTATGCATAATGAAATTTTTTTAGTCTTATTGTTTATAAGTATTTTTTGTATGCTTTTAGTGAAATTTTTTTAATTTATTTTTATCTTTTTTATGATCTTTACTTTGTTTTAATCATTTAATTTTTATCATGTGTAATTTTATCTCTATTTTCTTTGCCAAATTCTCAATTTGACAAAGTTTTTTTGTCTTTTTGTTTTGAATGGTCTCTCTATCTCATTAACAAATTACAAATGAATAATATATGGTAAAAATGAATCATCAAAAATTCAAAAAACTACCACATTATTATTTTAATTATCGAGTTATTAATAAAATACATGTTTATATCAAATAATATCTAATTACCAACATTATATGACTCAACTTTGCAGATTTTTCATTTAGCTAATCTTGCAGCAAATTATGAAATATATGTTTTAATGTTTTTTTTTTAATTATTTTTGCATGATATTGTTAAATAATGATTTATAAAGGTTAAATTTTATATGAATGAATGTATAAAAATGTTATATAACTCACCTCGCGACAACACGCAAGATATATGCTAGTATAAAACTATAACAAAATAGATGAGCTATTGTGTTTCTAAAACAATGTGGCTTGTAAAACTATAACAAAATGGCTGAGATATTGTATCCATAAGATGGTGTGCATCATTGTTATGATTTGCAATATATAATTGATCTGTTACTTTTAAAAAATGACCTAATACAACTTCTTCTCCATAAGGTATAATTGTGGTAACATAAGTTTAATTTCTAATTTTTCTAATAATCAAACTAAAAAGTTTCAATTTTTTATTCATTTTAATTTACAATAGATTTCTTTATCATGTGATTTTTATTATTTAATTATGTTATTTTTTATATACCAGAAACACATAAAATGTGTAAACTATTTATCGTTTTAAATTTGGAAATCTTAAAAATTCCATACATGTGATTTATGTTATGTAGTTGGATAGCTGTAGACAATGGGCTAATAATCAAATAACTAATCTCTTAAACATACGCCCTTAGAACTCCAATTAGAAAACCCCATTCTAAAAAAATGATGAAATCTCTCAAAATAAATAATAATAGCAACAAAAGACTTGAGAAAATCAAAATTCATTGCTCAACCAAGTTACAATCATAATCGAATCTCAGTTTCATCACTTCATACAACCATCCCATGAATGAAATAAATCAACATATAATCTACCACTTCAGAAACCACAAACTGGAGATGCCCCAAAATAGTAGGGAAGAAAATACCAATATTTCAGGAACAGAGTGTAACATCACATGCAAGAAGGCAAAAGTTAACAATAATAACAAATAAATAAAGACAACGTATAAGGAGATCACCAGAAGAACGATAATTTTAAACGGTAAGTGCAATTACTGGTAGCATGAGCCTCAATTGTAAATTGTAATCAACATAAGAAAGGCAGAAGATTACACATCTAAACAAAGCCTCTTCTAAATACACGGAACTCGGCAATCTTATGCAAGTCAGTCACTACTGGCCAATGGCTATGTAGTAAGGTAAGGTCTTTCTAGTGGCCTCACATGAAATAAAGGTAAAATAGGCCAAGTCATCGCAGAGATTTGATAGGAAAATGTTGCAACTTGAGAAATTAGGCATCATGAAGAAACTCCATATGGGAGAAGTGCAGCAGCTACAATTCTACCTTCCTCATTCAGTATGTTGTAGGTTGATGCAGCATTCCTCTGCAATAAAACAAAGCAATGTATCATAAACATTGTAGTGGAAGTCAGCAACATTTCATCAAGTTTCAAATGTGGGAGGAATGCATTTGACATCTGTTATCTGTTTTTCAGGGAAGGTTATTAGTTTTTTCCTTTCCAAACAGAACATTTACTGCTATTTAATCATCCAAAGATTACAACAAGGCAATTTAGAATTTAGAAAATTCCATAAACAATTACTGAATTCGTATGGATCAAATAACTTAGCAAGTAATTTTGTCACTATTTAAACTCGTTACTTGTCAGGCAGTCATTTCAAAATCTTGGTTTACTTCTGCTCATAAACATAAAAAATGCTATATAAAAGAATACCGAGTCAACAGCTTCCAACTTCATGCCAGTAGACCTGAATGAAGTGCCTCAGTTCAGGATCTACAGGTTGAGTGTATCTTCCACAGCCAAGAATCAAAACCTCTGAAACAAAAATTCACAGGTGAATAGGCTAACAAAGGAAGTTGGGAGTCAAAACAGCATTTACTATACAACCAGCAGAGTCACAGTAAGATATGACATTTTTCCACACCTGTTTGAAAGCATTTCAAGTCTTTAGTTGATAAATCTTGAACAAAACTCTCAGCGATTCCATTATATATGTTTGTTAACAATTCGGTATAGCTGGACAAGTGAAATCCAATAATACACAAATATTTAGTGAAACTTTTAGTTAAAATATTCCAATTATTTCCACTGCTAGTACCACAAGTAGTCATTTTATTAATTCATGTCATAGAAATACTAGTTAGGGAACTTACATTATCTAGTTACCTGTCCAACATGGCATTCCCATTCAACATGACCAGGCTACATCCTAAGTTCCTAACTTCACACTTGGAATATGTCTGCTCCTTATGTACTCTGTTGCAGTCTAAGTGGTCATGCTGCATTGTATTCATCAACTTTCTGGGCCGGGGCAGAGCTACAGCAAGTCTAGGGGGCCATGGCACCCCCAAAGTTTGATGAAGTTTTTATTTTAGTCCATAAAATCTATGATTTTTTCTAATATATCATTGAATTGAAGGCTTATTTCATACAAAACGCATCCCCCCCCCCCCCCAACCACCCCCACAACACAAAAGAAAAAAAAAAAATTCACAGATTACCATTATATGTTTATTTTATTTGCAAATGTATCAGCACCTCCATACCTAAAATCCTAGTTCAGCCCCTGTTTCCAGGAAATATTGGTTTGACTGCACACACTTTTCAAAGATCATTTTCCAGGCAACATGGGCAGAATAGCTTAAGAATATTCTTTTAGAAGGAAACATAGATCAAATTGGGCATATCATGGTGCAAGGGGTATGTAAATAACACTACAGGAAAGCAACAAAGAAGTTTCCTCACACTATGCCTTGTCAAACAATACACTCATTCACAAATACGTGCATGATGGATATAGCACGAATTCATCCATAAGTATTATGAAACCCATGGATCCTTTTAGCATTATTACACCTCAGAAACATACCATTCAGGTGAGACATATGTTGTCACTACACATATTCTAACCAGATGTTTCAGAAAAATAAAATCTTCTAGTTAGTTTGCCTAGTCTCCAAAAATACACTTGTTAGCATTATAAGGGGTGGTATTTGCTCTACACACAATTCATAGAAAGGACTCCTCCCACATCCAACATCCAGGTATGAACTAGGCTCTTCTTGAAAATAACAAGGACATAGACTGAAAAAAAAAGCACTTTAAATGCTAACTTGGGATCCAACATTTAATATCAATTCAATGTCGAACAAACAAACAATAAAAACACTAAATACTATGAGCGCATGCAACGGTAGAAAAATGAGCCTGAGTTGTCTCCCAGGTGATTTTCTCTCATCACATGGTTTGCAATTTTAAGCAGATGCAGAGCATGCAAATGGGTCAAGGAATAAATCAAGTAAAAGTGCTGAAACAACTCTCCTACAGAATAGCATTTCTTGTGCATATAAATGGTATTGAAGTCTCTCACCTGGTATAGGCCGCACAATTTTAAAGATGGATAAACTGCAGAGTGGCCACAACACAACAATGATGAAATGTCAGAAACAGGTGCAATAATTAAAAATAAAAAAGAAGAAGAAGGAGCAATTAAAAAATATTGACCTTATTCCGGTATGGTTTTTCATTTTTTCAATATGTGCCAATTGCTTGCATTTTACTAGGTACCACAAATTTTGAATGACTGATCAGTTCACCAAGAAAGCATACATCATTTTGAAAATTCAAGTATAGCATCCAGCATCCAGCATCCAGCATCCATAAATATTCGAAGGCAAGACTAACTAATATTAGTTTGGGCTAAGTTGAAGAAGAACGGTTAATAATCTTCATTAGTGCCCTTATACATAAACCAGAAACTACCCTAAACATAGATGGGATGGTTTAATACATCAAAGGTTAAAAGAAAGGCAGGAAAAAAAAAAAAAAAGGAAAGGGAAGGGAAGAGACCTGTCAGGAGTAATCTGAGAGAAGGAAGCGGGAGCCCAAGAGGTGACCAAGTTGCCGACACAAAGCAAGCTACCTTCATACTCCACCCCATTCACTCTGAATCCCGTCTCAGTATACCTTTTAAAAAAAAATCATTTTTTGGATAATATAAAATTGATTTAAGAATAGAATTACTAAAATTTAAAGAAAATGATTAATACCCTTGAAAACGGAGCTGGTCTTCAGGGACGTTGTCGATGATATTGATCTGATCGTAGAGAGAGAAAGCGCGTCTCAGCGATGGCAATTGCTTTATTCTTGGCTTTGGGCATTCTTTTCGAAGACTTTGTATCAGCTTTGGAAGTGTTGTAGCCATCGCTCTCTGTCTCACTCCTCCCATTTGCCTCCTTTTCAATTCTCTTTCTTTCCCGATTTCTCGGCTAAGCTAGCTGATTACCATCCACCAGAGTAGAGAAGAAGGGTCCTTCCTTCCTTCTTCAACCCACCTCCCGCCGACGTGTCAACTGAACTGAACGAACTACTACTCTTACTGTTGATCAACGACATGTCGCTCTTTTCTCCGCTCGATGGCATTTGATTGGACCCATACACAAACGTTCAATTGGAACCAGAGAGGTTTTTATTTATGCAATTTGGGTCCTTGTTCAAACTGATTGTCATAGATACAGAGAAATTTTATAATACTCAAGGAGTAATTAGTAGCATGTACAGTAGTTATTTTATGGAGCTACTTGGAGGAAAGAGATAGACACAAGAAAAAAGAGAGAGAATTAAAAAAAAAATTGAGCGAACGTAGAAATATTCTTATCATTTTTTGTGAGTCCGGATATAAATTTATGTGTCTATCTCTCTCCTCGAAGTGGATTTATGGAATAACTACTGTATATGCCGCTAGTTCCTCCTTGATTATTATAAAATTTTCCCATAGATACTCCATTCATTAACAAAGCCACCTTGGCTTTGCTTGGAAATGAGTAATGATTTAGTATATTCCTAAACTTTTTATTTTGTGTTTAAAAGGTTTTTCTTCTATTTTTTCTCTGTTTTTTAGTTTAAATAAAAAAAATTCTAATAGATATATGAAATAATAAGAAATAAAAATTTTATTTTTTAAATAAGTATTTTTATTTAAATTCACATGACTCTTACAAAAGTATTTTGTCATTTAAATTATTTAATCTAATTTTGATTAACTTTACGATTTGACATGAAGGGACTTAACTAAAAATAAAAAAACTAAATTGTATTTATTATAAAATATGATGACATGAAAACTTTAAACTAAGGAATTATTTATTACAAAAGTAAAATATAATGATTAAAGTAAAAAAAATTTTAAATTTAAAAGACCAAAATGTACATCATTGAAAGTTTTTACTTTTTTTATTGGTACAGAGAATGAAAAAGCTATGAAATACTTGGATAATCTCAACTAGTTCGCTTTATTTCCAATTAGACCAACATCAAAACAACTTTTTTTCACTTCCTTTTTTATTGGTCCCAGTCTAGGTTTGGTACCACCAAGAAATATTATGGCTAATAACCTATAAATAATGGAAATTGAATTCTGATTTTAGTCAAATCAAGGTCTCCAATTACCACTAGACCACACCTCTTATGGTTTGTTAACACATTAATAGCACCAAGTATAGGAATAATATTAACATAAAAAAATAATAATAATAGATAAATCTTAACTGTGTTTGTTTAAGCTGGGGTTTTGAGGGATAGGAAAGGAAAAGCTGGGGTTAAAACCCTCCAACCTAATTTAGCTCTCAATACTAATGAAAAGTAAGGTGGATTAACCATTCAAGCCCTTCAAATTATTAAAATCTTAACACCCCAATTTAGAATGTTTAAAGGGATTGAGAGTATAAAAATAACACAAACATTCTTAATTTAAAATAAAAACCTAACTTCCTTACACCTATTAAGGTTATTTTTGCAACTAATATTATTTTTTTCCAACCCTCTAATTCTCTTCCTTTCCATCACATTCCCTTTGCATATTCAAATAAAGAGAACAGTTTGAAATGACATCACTCCCCTCCCTACACTTACCCTGCTGAGAAATGAAATTATACTAGTTTACAACATCATTTTGGATGTCTAAGCATCATTAGTGTTCAAACTTCAGAATCAATCAATACTGCCTATACAAGAATCAACAAGGCAACTGCATGGAGAAATGCATTCCCATTATGAGTCATCTCTTCATTGGAAAGAACAAATTTAACTCAAATACTATCAAACATGAAGATTCTCATCTAAATTCATTTCAAATCCTTTGAATTTCATTCAATTTATTATTTCACAATTACAATTGCAATTGCAAAAATTGTCCCGTCTCCACCCCATTAGGTATCTCTTCATTATACAAATTCACAACCATGTCGCCAAATATATTATGCAACTCATTCTGTGTAGCGGCTGGTAATTTAACAAAAAAGGAACAACCTATTACATCAATCATCACCCCACCCCAAAAAAATAAGAAAAAAAGAAGGGAAAGTAAAGTCAAAAGAATGCTGGGAGCAGACGCAACATAAAACCTTCAGGGTTGCCTTCCGGCTTATTGAATTAATACAAAATCCATAAAATCAGGAGCTTTCTAAGTTGCGTATGAAGGAGCAGGCAGAAAAGGAAATGGTGCAGCAGAAGCATATGCCACAGGTGCCCGAGCTTGCTTGCCAATTTCAGAACACATTACCTTGTTCCTATGCTTAAGGTTTTCACTGCCTTGTGCTACGGCTTCCAACTCAGAGACCCTATCTGAATTGTATTCTGAAAGGCATTGTTGGTTCTCGGGGATACGATGAAGAAGGAGCCCAGACATGAACACAGGAAGGTACAAAAGGCTCGCATGAAACATCCTCCTTGCATTCTGTGCTGTTCGATCTCGATAGAATGAAAATGCAGAGGCACTTATTGCTAGAGTAAGAAATAATGATTCAAGACAAAACCATCCAGATGTCACACCCCCTGCATAGACATTCAAATTAATAATTCAAATCCCCAGACAGCATCCAGATATGCTCCACAAGATACATTAATTCACATCACAGTGGTACAGCAGAAAGCCAGTTCTTGGCAACTACACTCATTTCATAAAGCTTATTCAACAACGCATAAGGCAACACAAGTAAGGGAAGAAATTTTTAGCAAAACTCATTAAGCATCCCAAGTTAACAGCTTTACAATTGCATCAGCAAAGTTGGTTTTATTAAATTACAGGACCTTAAAATTCTTCTGTATAACCGAGATGATTATACATCATTAATAAGGTCAAAAACTGTAGATCTGAAATCGTAAATTAATCCATGTAACACGAACCACATGTAAAGTGCTCCAATTACAACTCTGCTAACACAAACAGCCAATTGTTCCTTGCATGTGATTGGGCATATAGAACAACCAATTCAATACTATATATTATGTGAAGCATGTAATAGTACCCACTTTTTATGTTTAAAGTAAACCCTATAACCAGAAAAAAGTAATGGCATATCAAGGTGCAAACCATGTAATTATGCTCATTCTTTATGCTCAATGTAGACCACAAAATCTGAAGTTATCCATAAAGTTCAAAAAACATGCATATTGATATGGGATACAAGGACCAAAGAGAGTCATAGATCAGATTATAAGATGAACGTGATAGTCAGTGAACTAAATAACTATCGATACGTTAAGTGATATCACATACGAATTTGTTCATTGGATAAAACTTAGATAAAAGAGTTGAAGAATGAAATGAAAAGTCATCAATGATTGAAATGAAAGATTGCATAACAATTGCAAACATTAGGGAATCTTTCAGTAGAGGACCAAATGAAGAAACTTGAGAAAAAAGGAAGACAAAGACTTAGTTAACTGGAACTTACAATCATAGGCTAAAACTCCCAATGGAACCAGATACAGGCAGTTCCTCAGAGCTACTGCAGCAGTCCTCTGACCAGTAGCGTCAGCAAGAGAGAACATCTTGAACCTGAAGATGCCACAAATGACAAAAATGAGGAAAGAGGGGAAAAGCCAATTAAATGTCGTTGAAGAGTCTGGGACCATAAGCGCCCAGGGTCCCACGTTCCCCTAAAATATCCATCACTTTCAACATTCCCCCTGGTGCTAAAAATTATGTGCAGTGACCATTTGCTATTACAATGTACGAAATCACAAAGCCAAATGCACAGGAAAGTTGAACATTATGGAAAAACAATATAAATAGCCAACAAGCTGATCAGAGAATAGTTTCATCTGTGGTATTACACTAAAATTGACGATAAAGTGTTTTCATAGACAAGTACTTTAGATCATGGAGCATACCCTCCAGCAGCATAATCACTGCGACACAGATATGCGAGGGCCATAAAATGGGGTATTTGCCAAAAATACAAAGCAGCTGGAAGAATCATGGAGTTCAGTGAAACCTGGCCAGAAGCTGCAGCCCACCTGAAAAATCAGAAAAGAAAATCAAGATTCTCTGCAGAGCTAGAAATATTAAAGCCTAAAAGTTAACCCCACCGGAGGATTAAGATGCTTTTCCTATTTTGAAGTAATGAAATCTCTCTGTTGCTTCCTAGGAGAGAAGCTCCACTAATTGGCAACTCTTTCCATAACTGTCTAATGTCTTTCCTTTCATCTTAGAATGTAATCCAATTAGCTGCTGGCTTCAAGTCATGTTCAAAGGAAAATACTTGTTTATCATCTCTTCACTTGGGGGCAACATCAGGGCATGTTCCTTTTCAAGTGACTTGTCCATTTGGGAGTGTTGTGGGATCATTACAAAGGCAACTAGACTCAAAGCATAGCCTGTTAGAGGCTGCATCTGTTCTAAATCATAACAAAGTTTCTCTGCTAAAAGCTGGGCTTACGAGTGCCTATGGCCAGAATCCATCTTTGGCACTTCCCAGATCCCTGGGGGCTGAATGTAGTCAACAAATGGAAAATTGAGGAAGTCCTCTACTTTCAGAGTCATTAGCAAAGCGTTTTTTAAAAAGTTCAGCGAGAACCAAGTGCTTTCAAAAAGAAAATTAAGAACCAGAGGGCAAAATATTACCCCATAAGTGGTGGAATAGCACCAACAACAGCCCCAACCCATGTGTTGACTGGGTGAATCTGCTTCAGCGGTGTATAGACAAATGCATAGAGAAAGAGATTGGAAGCTCCAAGCCCAGCTGCTAACATATTAGCCTGCAACAACCTTGTCATGGAAGCTGCAACATTAGTTGCTATACTCAGAGGAAATTAAGCATATAATGATGACAAAAAAAAGTAGGCAACTGTATATATGTGGCCACCTTGCAAGCTAATATAGCAGTGCCAGCTACCCCAACAGAAACCGCCCAGGAGAGTGCATGAGGTATTGTCAAGCGCCCTGATGGTAATGGTCTTTGTCTTGTTCTTTTCATTTTGGCATCATTATTCTTCTCGAAAACCTAACACCATAAAAGACAAAACAGCTTAGTAGGAATATCAAGAAGTGTGGCTAAGAATGTGAAAAGAGAGCTCAGTTCTAAAACATTGTCACTAATCAAACAATTGGTCTCCATACAAGTTCAACAAAGGATATTGGTAAATATAGTCAGTACACTTTCACTTGGAGTTGCGCTCTTACTAACCCCGTAATTCATGCACTTTCCTTTTAGTTATTTCGTTTCTTCGCTTCCCTAAACTAGGATAATCAAGCAAAGAAAAATGATATGGCGAAAGTGTTGAAAAGGTAGGGTAACCCAAAACCCAAAAAAGATAGAAAAAGATAATTACAGACAGAAATGGTTTATCGAATTGGGTGTCAACCTCTATATTCCAGGCATGTAATGCTGAATTCATACTCTGATTGAGGCTTGAAGTTGTTATTGTTTTTCTTCTGAGATATTTAATTTGGATTTGAGAATCTAATAAATATATCAGAGGGCTTTAAAATGAATGATGAATGCGGAGATTTGAAGAGAAAGTACCGAAAAAAAGAACCTGATTAAGAGAGTTAGCAGAAGCAGCAACCATCATAGTACCGGCACAAGTCCAACCAAGCCCAGCCAAATCAACAGCACTCCCTGCACTCCCTAGAACATATCCGGTTCCAGAGGTCGCCACAACTAGCATGCTGTCGCGTACAAACTTTGTTAATTTGCAAATCCCATACAGTAAAATAAACGAAGAGAAGAGAATAGGGATGACCTGAGGCGAGCTTTGGAAAGCTCCCAATAGCAGCTAGAGTAGTGGCGAGCCAACTGCACCGCCGAAGCCAAGGGTGAGAGAGCATCAACAACTGCAGGGGCGGCCGCAGAAGATGAGGAAAAGGCTCGAATTCCATCGGATTTGTGATTGGAAATCCCTAATTTTAAGGAATCAGAAGTGGCTGATTGCGGAGATGAGTAATAGTGAGTTAGTAGTGATTGTGGCCCAAAGACGAAGCCGTTTCCACTGAAATCAGATAAGGAGGAATTTAGACGATTATGATGATAATTAGGGTTCGATAACAGCTTCGATGTGTTTCTCCACATCTCGACAGATGGGAAATGCTGGGACTTTCTTTTTGGAAAATCAGCTATGACAAATTGGCTCAGAAGAATATCGATCTAATAGAAAAAGGTCGCTGTTTTCGAAACGATATGTCGTTTCCTTTTTCATTTTCATTTTCAATAAAGGCCTCTCTATTTGCATGAATTATGTAAATAAGCCCCTGTACAAAATTTATGGTCACATTTTACCCTTTATTTGCAAAATTTCGTAAATTTGATGCAATTAGACTAAATTGCATTGTACTGTAAGATGATTGCCACATAAAAAAGTAATTACTGATGGAAACACTTCAAAGAATAGGAAAGTCTTACGAAAGCATGAAAGCCATTGGCAAGAAAAGCAAAGGTTATTTACTGGAATCAAAGGGTGTCCTGTCTGGCTTCTTGGAGAGACTGACACTGAATGTTCAGGCCATGAAGTTGGGCAATTTTTAGTTGATTCTTGATTTGCTACGCTAACTCATTGTTCATCTTGATTCATTTAAGGACTATTTCTAGTTATGATGTTGTTCTGTGAGACTGGCATGAAATGAAAGAACATATGATTAAGGATTTTAGAAAGCTGATAAAGCAATACAAATTACAAAATGTCACTTGAGAAGGCTTTACAAAGAGATTTCTTCAGTGCTTGCTGGAAAATTTACACCAGCTGGCTACTTTTTTGACACTTTGAAATCAATTTTCAAGCCTTATAGATTGTACTAGCTACTACTACTAGCTAGAAGTTACAGAGTTTCTCGAGCTCAACCTGGACAAGTGAAAAAGATAGTGCACTTGTCTAGTCTCATTGCTGAAAATTAAACCCTCTTATTTTTTCACTTTATTTATGTCACATATATATAAATATTTCTTCTGCTTTTCTAATTTCCCAATATAGGGCAAAAATTAATCAAACTTTCAGATCTGCCTCTTCATTGCTTAATTTGCTCTCTCCTCCTAGGTTCCGCTGCTGGTTCCCCTCAAACTTGATGTACTTGTACCACTTGGCACATATAATGTACACAATCAGATCTGCAGTTGTCAAAGCTGCTAAGAGGAAGTAAAATCTATCTAGATGACCTTTGTTAAGGTTTCCTGGGATCCATCCTGGCATCTTGTCTCTGGTAGATACTTTCATTACAATGGTTACTAGCAAGCTGCTCACATAGTTGCCAAGAGATATGGATGTCATACAGAGTGCACTGCCGAAGCTCTTCAATCCATCTGGTGCTTGCCCATTGAAGAATTCTAATTGACCGACATACATGAACACCTCAGATGCTCCTATCAGAACATATTGAGGAATTTGCCAAAATATGCTCAGAGAACTTGCACTTTCGCAATTGGGACACTCTTTTTTCGCGTACTTCAACCTTAACAGCTCTACAACTCCTGCCGAAACCATTGCTATTATTGCGATAACTAGACCAATCCCCATCCTCTGAAGCTCGGTCAGGCCTTTAGGGTCCTTTCTTATTCCGGCAACAAAGGGATCAAGTACTCGTCTATAGATGAATATGAAAGCTGCAACACTGAGTATGTCGAAACTAGACATGCTTGCTGGAGGAATGTGGAATTTTGAAATCGTCGTTTTCATAGCAGCACCTTGTTCGACGAAGAGTGATGCCATTTGAGTGAAAACTACAGAGTAAAGAATTGTGCACAGCCAGATAGGGAGAAGTCTTAGGATGCATTTGACTTCTTCAACTTGATTTACTGGGCAGACACGCCATGGATTGTAAATGTCATTCTCGTCTTCTGTGTAATCCTTAATTGCAGCTCTATCTAAGAATCTGGTAAGATTTAGTAAATTTATATGAGTACTGTGTATTTATGAGGAAATATTAATTTGCTTGATGAATAGCCTATTAAATTGAACATGACAAGGAATATACCTGAATCCTTGGGTGTGTTGGATCCTTCTTTCCCCATTTTTGGAACTGTCCTTTGAGCCTTCTAATTCAAACAGATCATCTTGATTTGGCACCCTCTGGACCTTCCATTTTCTTGCTGCAGCAACCATGACCTGGCAAAACCTACAGAGAGGGTTGCCCTGTGGAGTGAAGTGTCTATACCTGGGAGTGCCGACCAGAAACAAAACCAGTGCCAAAAGAGCAGAGCCAGCAGATGCCCAGAATCCTAACGCCCACATACCATGGTCCTCAAAATAGCCCAATATGGTGTTTGAAAAGAGAGAACCGAGGTTCAGAGCCAAGTAGAAGTAGCTGAAGAAAGCTATCTTAGAGTAGCCTTCTTCAGCGTCCCCTTCATCAAACTGATCGGCCCCAAAGGTAGCAATGTTAGGCTGGTATCCTCCATTTCCAAGGGCAACAAGATAGATGGAGAAGTAGAAAAATGCTTTCTGGTAGGTTGAGTGGGATCCGCATGGAGTTTGTTCATCACCACAGCCTCTCGGTTTGAGCAAGAATAAGTAGGAAGTCAGTGACAATGATGCCAGACCCTGCATTCCAAGAGATAGATCTATTGTCAGTTACCAAAATTTTGAAAAAGTAAATAAAAAATTAACTCATGGTCTATGAAAGGTGGTAATTAATTACTTACAGTGACAAAGATGGCCTGGAAGATTGCACAAGTCTTGTACCTTCCCCAGTAAGAGTCGCTGAGGAAGGCACCGAGTAGAGAGAATATGTACACAGTTCCAGTCCATTTGCTGACATTGTTTGCAGCATCCGCATTGTCTTGACCCAACACTCTTGTCAAGAACAGAACCAAGTTCACTCCTACCCCAAAGAATGCCAAAGTCGCCAGTCCTTGATTCACTGCGTATATATGTATGTAAATATATATATGAAACGATAGAATTGATCAAAGCTTGATTATCGAAATATTGTTTCTTAATTAGTTAAACAAGCTAGTAATTAAGGAGAAGTAACTAATGATCATTTGGTTGATTAATTGGTAGCTACGTACCTAATATGAGAATTCCAGCGAACCAAGTGCCAGTCCTCCCTCGGATTGCAGGATCACCATGTCGATCCACGCTTCCATCCCTAGTGCAAACTTCCTGCTCCTTCTTCATGGGCTTCCCCTGTGCGCTACCCTCCTGCAGGTTTTACCACATGCATGCACGATTAATATTTATATACATGTATGTAAATGCATGAATTTATTTACACCTACGTCTAAACATGAAAAACATAGTATAAGGACAAAGGTTGCGGTGCAGGGAAATTAAAATAAGCTTCATGACCAACCTCTTTGCAAATATTTAAGCAAGCCATTGTTTGTTACTTTCACTCTGATCGATCACTATATATTTTCAGAAATGCAAAGCTAAAAATAATTAGTTCGACCTGCAGAGGATTTAGTTAAGGAAAAACGAACTTGATGAAAAGGCTGGCTTTGATTAGAGGGGAGGGGAGGGAGGGAGAAATTTTTTTTGATGAATATAGAAGTGTGTGAAGAGAAGATGTTGCATGCACGCTATATATAGAGGAAGGCATGAAGCAACTAACGGCTGAGATTGCATGGATATATATACATGAAGTTTGGAAGGGAGAGGCCCACAAGCACAGGATATACAAAATACTGCTCCACTACGTAAAAAATGGGGGAAGTGTAACTAATATTTATGAAAAAGAAAAGGTAAATTGGAAGCAGTAGAGTATTGTTGGAATTTTTCATCTTTTTTTTAAAAAAAATTAATGGCACGATCTATTTTTATATAATAAAATAATCCTTCTATTTGTTTTTATATTTGTATTTTATGATTAAATATACATTAAATCTATAATTTATTATTTTGTCAAGATTTACAGGTTCAACTATAGAATTATTCACCTAATTATATTTTTTTATTTTTAAAATGTCTTTGTAAGTCAGTTAAATAGATATTTTTTATGTGTAAATCCTGTGACTAATTTCAATATTTTAGTTTAATTCTGATATTTTAGTTTAAAAATTTTGTTAGAATGACAGATTATATATAATTAATGTATAATTAAAAATAAAATTAATTCAATTAAAAATATAAAAACAGATTGAAAAATTATTGATAAAGACAAATTGGATCATTAATCTTTTTTTCCTTTTAATTTGATAGCAAGCGATGTCTTGAGTGAAGTTGGTGCATGAAAATGATGATGAAGGAGGTGGGGTGAAGAAAGAAAGAGAAATCAGAGAAGGTAGATAGCGAGGTAGCGTGAGATTGTTGAATACAGTCATGCAAAATTCATTAGCCCTAGCTTTAGTGAATCACCGATGACTAATGTATCATTGTCTCATTCACGTAATTAGGGACAGCTGATGTTGTTAAGCATTAGCTGTCTTTGATTTGGACATGTTTGAAACATGCATTTCCTATGATGGCCTTGCATGCCCTTGATCTCCTTTTCTATTTCTTAATAAATAAATAATGTAAGGAGTTAGCTAGCTAGTACCCCTTTTTCTTTTTCTTTTTTTTTTCAAGAAAAAATGTCTAACTAATAAGATGGTTCCTGGCTACTAGGAGTCGACAATCGAATCTTATCTGCACTTCTTTTGGGCCAGCACAAACACTTGATCAACCCCCACCGAGAGGTTTAGGCCCCTAATGTACATGCATATGGTCATCAATTAGTATACTAAACGCAATTTCTAGCTTTTATTATCATTTTCGTTCATAATCGTCATTAATCTTGTGTTGTTTCCATCTGGTGAAGGGTTTTATGTATGTATTGATTGTTAGACAATAATTGAAGAAACCGAATCACATCAAACTACACGCGATTCAGACATTGTACTAGCATTTATGACCTTCTTTTTTCTTCTCAAATCATAGAGCTGTGTACCCATTTTTTGCTATTGCCTAAAACTTAATTAGCTAATAGCATATTCAATGATACTCTTTATTTTTAGTTAGTATTTTTAATGTAAATGGAAAACATCGTTAATTATATAGATTGAAGATCAATATCCTCTTCAATGTTATTCTCTATTATAACTCTTTATTTTGACAAAATCCATAAAACCTAGAAGGATTTTGATGAAGAGGTTTAGTAGCATAGGAAATAATAATTTTCATTAATAAAATATAAGATAAAGAGTCATTTAGACTCTCTAATATTGAAGAGTCAAAAACACTTTGTATTTCAATTTTAAAGATAAAGATTATGATAAAGAAAGCATTAGAGATGAAATTCGAGTCAAACCTTTTTATTATAAGAAAAAATCTTAATATAAAGAAAGCATTGGAGATGTTCTATGGATAACTAACCTAAGAGGTTCAATTTTTTGAGAAATGCCAGACTTGGATCAAGCTAGTAAGTTGATTCATAAGAGAATAATTTGTTACAAAGCATCTGGACATTCTTCTTGATCTGCTAGCTACCATGTCATTTCAGGCAGAAAACAAAGTAGATTCATTTTATGCAGCTGCCATTAATTATTCTCTTTTTTGTTAATTAATAAATCTGTTCTGCCTTCAAATTTGAAGCCACCATTTTAATTTGAAAAAAAAAAAACAAATTAAGTAGGAGTTTAAGCACTTGCCAGCACCACTACGGTTCTGGCTGACTACTCATGACCGTGAGCAGTGGTGAAAGTTTTTGGCTTTTGGCTACTAGAGGAGTACTACAGGACTCCAATTGTGCAGGGATAGCGCAGCCAGCTGGGATGTTTATCTTTATGAATTCATCCATTATTAATTAATGTTGACTAATTCTTGCTCATTAAGTACTTGGTATTAATTAAATTAACTAAAAAATACTGCTAAATAAATATGAGATAATTAAATTATAAGTATACTAATTTTTAATTTTTTTCTCAATCGAAGTATATAGATCTTAATTTTTTTTGTTTGGGTATACTAATTGTTTTAAAACTATCAATTTTTTCGTTAAATGATACATGTCAAAAAAACTATAGTTTGATTTTTTTTTCAATCAAGTATATAAACTTTAAATATTTTTGTTTCAGCACACTAATTTTATCATAATTGTCAATCAAATATTTTTGTTAATTTCTCTATTAATTGATTATTAGTTTGTTATCTCTAAAATACCAAACTATAATCTTATCTTTCTTTTTTTCTTTTTTTTCTTTTTTGTTATTGGAGAGAACTTTCTCTTCAAATGCTCAAAAACAATGAATCTTTTTATAAAAAATTTTACATTTGTATTTTTTTTAATTTTTACATTTAAATCTATCTGAGTAAGTTTGGGGTTTTATAACAAAAAAATAATATTTTTTCATTCATTGTCAAATTTTGAAATGATAAAATAACTTGAATGAAAAAATATCTCCAACAATAAAAGGATAAATTTTTCATTTGGTATTTTAGGAATAATAAACACTTCATCATTCAATAGAAAAATTAATAAAACTATCTGATTGATAGTTTAAAAAAAAACTGACATACTCAAACAAAAAATAAAAATAAAATTCATACATTCAATTCAGATAAAAAATGATATATTTATAATTTTGTGTTATAGAGATAACAAACACTCGGTCAGTTAACACAAAAAAATCATAAAAATTAATAATAAAAATACTTGATTGATAGTTTAAAAAAATATATTAAAAAATAAAATTTATATATTCAATAAAAAAATTAAAAGTTGATATTCTTACACGCTATTCATCCTATGCAATAATGCAAAGACTCTAGCCCAATGCCTAGGCGGTGGTAATTGGTTCCACTATATGATTAGACCCAACCACTAGCATGTGTGGTCCATATGGATGCCACCGACAACAACTTTAAGCATCATAAGATAAAACAAACCTCTTCCTTTCAATATTTAACACAGCACAGATACGTACTGTCGGTTAACACCAAGCGTGCGCATTATAGGAAGGAGCATTTTAATGCTTGAAAAGCTAAACCTTTTTAGTACTCCACGTTAAACACACTAATCACTGATGAAAATTTAATTATTTATAGATTCCAAAACCCTAGCTATCTATTTTATTTCCTAATTAAATAAATTAGTTCTGCATGCATACCTTTTGCATTTTCCATGTCGCATAAAAATTAATCATACAGTATGAGTTAATTAGAAACATACATGAAAAATATATTGCATGAGGAATTGAGATATCACGTGGTATTATACTGTTATAGATTTAGATTGTTCCATGTTGAAGGAACAATTTAAAAACCAAAAACAAAAAAACAAAACAAAAAAATCAAAAGTTCAGGGTAGTTATTTGAGAAAAATTTTAGCTTAAGGACTAATTTAGATTTGATCAAAATTTAGGAGGTTTGTACATTTAAGCCACGTATAAATTCAACACGAACCAAAGATGACGAGGAGCGTCCATAAATATCTTGATGCCTTTTGAGGAATGTTGACAAAATGAAAACGTTGAATTCTGTCTAATTTCCCAAATAAAAAACAGACACTTCCACGGGCTACGAGAAGATTCCTCAGCCTTTTAAACTGTTAATTACTAATAATTTTATTTTCATCATTGATGATCGACTGCAACGTCTTGTTTATTATAAAAGATATGGTGTGTTAGAAAGTAACTAAAAAAGTTATATTATATTATTTAATATAAAAAAATTGATAATTTAAATAATTTTATATTTAAAATTTAAATTCAGTTAAAATTTATTTAATTAGATAAATTAAAATTTTTAATTTAAAATTTTTTTATTAATAAATTTGATTGAATTTTTTTTAATATAATTATATCTCTCGTGTATTTTTTATAATTTTAAATATATAAAATGATTAAGAAACCATATCTATTTTTAAAAAATAATAAAAAAGGTCGGAAGCTGAACTGAAATTGAAACGGATGATCAAACTGAGTGTGATGGGATGGCTCCAGCAAACATGGCAGAAAACTCAGCTCTGCCTTCATCTTCTCTAGTGGAGGAAAAGACTCCTGTCTTATCAGAGAGACATCCAGCCGAATAATACCAGTTAAAACAAAAGGCATCTGAAGTTGGTGGGTAAAGCTGTCGTTGGGTTGAATTGTGCCAAGCAAGCACCGTCAAGCTTGGCTTCGCGTTCATGAGCATCAGCGGGAAGAAATGAGGGCCAATTTGAAAAAAAAAAGGATCCAATTGGGAGGGAGGTCAGTGGCAGATCTGGGGCTGTTTATGAACCAAGAATTTTGCTGTACAACTGTATTCTAATATATATATATATATATCCTAACCTATATTAAAGGTCACTGTATAAGGATTGATTGTCTGACTATTGAATTAGATACTGTATTGTCCTGTATGAGTATATCAAGTAGTCTAATTTATTAGTGAAGTAATGTTAAAGTTTGCAAGATAAAT